ACGTATCATATGACTATCACTTTTGTTATCACCAAATTTCAATAATCACAGCACTCCTACTGGAAATTTCCGCCCATTTGATTTCACCAATTCTTTTTTTACAAATTACACTAACCTTAACTCTAATTCTACCATTAATTAACTGTGCGTAGTGTTATAAATATGTATTTAAATAAACACTTTAACGTTAATATTGTAATAATATTAGTAGACAGTGGTGAAACACATTCAAGTCTATATGCATTACATAGTTCCAGCTTAGTAGGTTAATAGTTTCAATCTAAGCTGAATACACCATAACGATTAATGCACGTACGCCTCTCTGGGTGAAATAAAGCATGTGACTTGAATTAGTGTTTCGGTTAGTGTTTCGTTTTTCACATGTCATCATTACCATTGGAAGTTTACAGCTTACGCACATCACTAACTTGATTTATCATTAGCAGAATAAGTTTTTCTTTCTTTGGTTTGCATCACAACGTAACTACCATATCGATATTTTACATTAATTCACGTGAGGTTAATTACGTATAAGTGTATTACCGGATTTATCAACTTTTAACCGCGTTTGTTTATGACGACTTTAAAATTTGAAAGTCCGTAGTTTTTTTGTTAGCCGCAAGTAGTGAACAATCCAACCTTTTTTCCTTTGAGTTCAAAAGATTCTTAGGTGGTTTTTTAAAGGTAATATTATATCATCTGTTTGTTCCATTCTTCTTAGTCTATCGTATTTCATTGGATTATTTAAGTTTGGTTACGTAGATTCTGCAATGTAACAACAACGGTGCAAACGTTGCACTGTTAATTAACTTTTTTTTTCTCATATTAATTCTCAAAAAATTTAAATTACAGTTTTTTTACCCAAAATTCTGAATCATCTTTTTTTTTTTTTTTTTTTTTTTTTTTTGAGAGAAAAAAAAAAAAATTATATACCGAGTGTATTTTTTGTTTACCTTCTTCCCTTATTTCGGTTCTTCGTTAATCGAAGATAACTTTGAATACCTAATGAAACTTTTTCAATATACCATAGTATTCTCGAACAATTTTTTCCAATTCACACAAACTGAATAATACACTCTCATATTTTTCAAATATTATTTATTTATAGACTCTAAAAATTTTTCATATATATCTTCAAATATTTTTTAGAACTTTCTGTCTTTTTAAACTTGCAATTCCTTTTCACTATTACATTTCAAAGCATTCACTTTTATAAATTTTATAATATATTGTATTCTTATTTGTATTTTTATAAACATATATAATATAGTCTTATAACTTATAGGAAAATGATACTTTCGAAACGTTTTACGGACATTTTTTGGTTGCTTCCGGCAATAACATACTCTGCTTTGGTAAACTTTGTTATACCGGGGTTGGGTGATTTTTTATTTTTAAGAATTTTAACCGAGATAATTTATGGACGGGTCCATAAATTAAAAGAATTTAAACCTCTAATACTGGTATGTCGTCGTTACCATTTTTTTTTATGAATTTTTTTATGAATTATTAATGTACCATAATCTGTATCATATTCTAAATATTCTAAATTCTGTTGTTAGTTCGCCTTTTCAATAATAATCAATTTAACCTTTCCATTGCCGGAAAAATCTGATCAGATAGTTCGTCATAATTTAAATTTATTATTATCTGAACTCGGACTTGATTCCTCAAAAATTACTTCAGAACGACAGCATACCTCGGTTGATCGAATGAAAGAAGAAAATCGTCAATTATTATCTAAATTAGCAAATTTGGAAAATGTATTTAAGTCCGGTCCATCAAAAAAAATTTCAACAATGCCTATATCATATAATACACTTCATCTAAATCATACGAATCATACAACAGGAAACCTAAGTAGCACCGATAACGATGACGACTATTGTAGTATATTAACAAATTCTAGAAAAAGATCTTCTCGTAAATCTCGACATCGTAGTTCTGGATATTCTTCAAGTAGCAATGCTGCTACAACAAAACATTCTTATTTATTCTCTTCTACATCTGCTACGAATAATGGTGATACCGATATTACGGGTTTTAGTTCTGATGATGAAGATGATCAACTTGTGGTTGATGAAAAAGCTGAAGCTGGAAATAAAGTTTATTGGATGCATAAAATTATTG